GAAAATCTGGAATTATAATTTAATTTCATATAAACTGCCCCTGTGATCACCAAAACATCCTCATGCGAGTGTTTGTTACTGATAAAATGATCCACGATATCTACAAAGCACCACTGTTCTGTTTCTCCACAGGAGGTGATGCAACATCCGTCATGTGTGATAGTTAACCAAAAGCATAGCTTTAAGACTGCAGCGTATTAATCTGTCAGAGCCCTTCCTGACATATTTCTAGACTTTCTGGACTGCAAACACAGCCTGAACAGACTCCAACTTATAATATCCATCATACGCCATGATATTTACTTATCAGTCTTTAGGAACATCATAGATAAAAACAAGCAGCTAGGAGGACTCCTTGTTTAACACTATGCTGTCAGTTAATTGGTATAAATAAAATCACAACCTTGTGCTTAAATGCTTCGGTCAGAATGCAACGTTTCATTCCATCCAATAAAACATTTATGTGAAATTTCATCATAAATTATTGATGAATTCTTGAGTTATGGCCAAAAAAGACATTTTGTGAGGTCATGATGGTGCAGACCATGGATACCATCTAAAATCTGGAAAAAGACCATTCATAAGATAGGATGCATGACTGGACAAAAAATAAATTACTTACTTAAAATCATTCCAAAAGTACATAAATAGTTTTTGCACAGTTTCTTAAAACATGGCTTATCTGACCAATTTATTGTTAGATTAAATGCCAATTAGGATTCTGCAGATTACACAAAACTGCAAAAAGAGTGTTTATTACAATGAATCTACAGCAAAGCTTACAACACATTTTTGTTTGCCACATAACAGGGCAGCACAGCATCATGTTAAGTATGGTATGCAGACCAATCATGAATACAGTCACCCACAGGCCCATTTGGAGTCCAACTGTTAGCCAAACAGCAATGATTAGACTCCACAGCAGGAGCATTTAAAGCAACCAATACCCGCTTGTTTTCAGCACTGTAAAGTCTGGCCACTGAACCTGCTGCAAATGAAGGTGCTGAACCGTTTTCACTTTTGCTTGCAAGGCTTTCTATTAATGTTGATTTAAATTATGGGAAGATTTATGGAAAAAAAAAAAAATCAGATTGCCCTTCCCTTAGAAATTAGAGTAGAAGCAATGTGCGATTTAAGATTGAGATCAAGTCTGATATCAGACTACAACATTTATTGAACACGGAAAGAAAAATATGGACTATAAATGTCGAAA